ATATTGACAGATACAAACAGATCAATTGGTGTGCGTTTGTGCCCGTGATCACCGATCGTGACGATGGTATAAGCGGTCTGCATAAAAATGCAACGCCCAAAGATGTATGATCTGGTCGATCAGTGGATGCGGCATTCTTTGAGTCATTTCTGCTCGTGGCCATTGTTCCATTATCGCGCAATGCTCGTGATTCTTCGAGAAAAAAACAAATTCAGATGTAAACAGAACAGTGCTGACATTTAGGGAAAATACGATTCGCTGGCATTAAGGTGAAGTTACTCTTCAAATTAGCCGATTGGAATACAACACTTTCTTTAAGGGTATTAGACCAAAATTTCCGAACCTTTGTCACATAACTCCTGATCATCTAAGAATTGTCCTGACACATCCAAAATTTGGATTTTTGGAAAAAATGTTTCAACTCAGCCCAGACCAGAACCAAAATGGCGTCCAGCTCTCATATTTCGATCAATATACAATTATCAAAGGCTCTGATACGAAACGAAAGGGTCAGGACAATTTTATGATAATTTAGGACACTCTGGTAATCGATAAACTCTCATTTAAACGGGATAAAGGCAAAAAAAGTGTTGTATGCGCTTCTATGCTAAAACGATGGGAATACTAGGTCTCGGAGTGAAAATTTAATTGACCTGGAAATCACAGATGGTGCAGGGAGTCCCACTGCAGTCAATTAGGGCCCCGGAAAGCATAAATCCAGAGGATTTCTGGAGTTTTACTACGATTTCTTGATATTTAGTGTACGTAAACGACAGTTGGAGTATGCCATTTGGTACAATATCCAATATAATTCGACACAGCTGTCAATATAAAAAGGAACGTCGGCAACGTAGGCATTTAGAAAAATCTTCTTTATCGACGTCGATCAAGTTTTTCGACTCGTTTCACTTCACCTTAAACAGCACTGAATATACTGATAATACTGGAGGTCGTGGGATGAAAAGAGAAACAAAAATAAAAATCTGTCGAATTTCAAAAGCGAATAACAGAATCCCCGAATAGGCGTAAACAATATTTACATTAAAATGTTTTGATAATGTAATAATAAAGAATATGCATATTTTGTCCAGGCTAAAAACCGAATCATGAAGGTTTCCACAAAACAGTACTTTTATTTATGATTATTGTCAACACAGAAAATATTAGGCAAAACGCAAATGTTCTTATGCAGATTCTCATTTTCCAGAATCGTTTAAGCTGATCTTTAACTCGCCACGTCTGGAAACTTCCTATCGCTGAAAACTTAATTTATCCCATCACGTTTCTGCCGGATTATTAGAATCTTGAATATTTGTTCCCAGGAATACGTAATAACTTTTTTTACCATCTATCCATCAGCGGTACTGTCTTTACGGTAGACGGTTTAATGGCTTCATAGTGTGACGTATCCGTGTATTTCTCGAACATAACTTTTAATATTGTGTGAAAAAATGTTAACTGTGTGATGGCTTATCGCACAAATGGTAGGAGCAATCCTTTATAACAAAGCTACATATCCGCAGTTAATTAAAATCCCGTTAATTCGTGGTTACGTACGTGAGTTAACAATTGTCACGATAAAAACATATATTTCGCGGTTATTTCATTTCACGAGAATAAGCATTCTCGTTGATAATTTCTCATCGTTCCAGTTTAACTTAAGCAATAAGGTGAATAAAAGAACTTTGTAGCTCCACGTTAAATGCATTTTTTAATGAAAACTCGATTGGTATACATGAATACTCTGCTAGGTTTAAATTACTACTGCTACCAGCAGCCATATTGCTAATTGTCTAAGCAAACACTGGTTCATCTCATCTAAATATTTTTCTTCAAATTGCAAATAAGCCTGTTGGCTCATGACTGTGAGATTATTTATTCATATGATTTGAAGATTGTACTTTTCGTAAAACGTGAACACATACACTACTGCGACTCGTTAAGGTGAAGTGAAACCCCCTTCAAACCAGTCGATGCGAATACAACACTTTTTTTTAAGGGTATTAGACCAAACTGTCCGAAACTTTGACACATCACTCCTGATCATCTAATAATTGTCCTGACACATTCAAAATTTGGATGTTTGGAAAAAATTTTTTAACTTACCCTAGTCCAGAACCAAAATGGCGTCCAGCTCTCATATTTCGATCAATATACAATTATCGAAGGCTCTGATATGAGAAACGAAAGGGTCAGGACATTTTACGACAATTTAGAACACTCTGGTAATCGATAAACTCGCATTTGAACGGGATAAAGGCAAAAGAAGTGTTGTATGCGCTTCTATGCTAAAACGATGGAAATACGAGATCTCGGGGTGAAAATTTAATTGATCTGGAAATCACAGATGGCGCAGGGTGTCCCTCTACAGTCAATTAGGGCCCTAGAAAGCATGAATCCAGAGGATTTCTGGAGTTTTACTTCGATTTCTTGATATTTATTGTACGAAAACGACAGGTGGAGTACGCCATTTGATACAATATCCAATATAATTTGACATAGCTGTCAATATAAAAACGAACGTCGGCAACGTAGGCATTTAGAAAAATCTTCTTTATCGACGTCGACCAAGTTCTTCGACGTGTTTCACTTCACCTTAAGGCCCCAGAAAGCATGAATCCAGAGGATTTCTCGAGTCTTACTTCGATTTCTTGATATTTATTGTACGAAAACGACAGGTGGAGTACGCCATTTGGTACAATATCCAATATAATTCGACACAGCTGTCAGTATAAAAACAAACGTCGGCAACGTAGGCATTTAGAAAAATCTTCTTTATCGACTTCGATCAAGTTCCTCAACGTGTTTCACTTCACCTTAAGGAAAACAACATCGAACATATCGTCATTGTACGTGCACGATTCGACTACCTTTTTGGCCTCACCATGTCAGTACTTATAAAGTAACATTGTCGTCTGTGTCAGCGCCGATGCATCTCTGAAGGACGACCGTTCTGAGATGTGGCACGGCGCGGAGTATCGCGTGGAAAGTCTCTTCTTTTAAGATACCTTCGATAAATTATTTTAATCACTTGAAGCCGATTCTTGAAACTCGAAGGAAGGTCGATCCCCCATCAGTGGCTTAGAGACCAATCTTGGCGCATATAACACCAGATCACAAAACATGTTTGCCTCGAGTCTCCCGCCATTTGCACTTGTCCTGATCATCGCATTTTTCCAGAAATGGCTGAATCTGTGCACGGCCGAATTTTCCGAAAATGGCTGAATCAGTGCACGGCCGAACAACGAAGCCTTGGAACTTCTTTTACACTTTCTTCTTTGATCTCTTCACGTCGAAGTATATTGCTCAACACGGCTTATACGAAACGGAACTACGAACAGCATGGATGCTAGGATCGTAAAATGACTGATTTTGCAAGTCAGAAGTGCAGCGAAACGAAAGTAGGAAAATGAAAGTTGTATGAATGAATTCCCCTCAATATCACCGTTAGAGAATCATTTTCGGTAAGTATAGTTAATTTCTCCAAAAATGTCACGTACGGTCCTACAAACTTTTGGTAGAAGTAACAGTGGTCGTTGGGCAATAAATATATATTGTGAAATATGCTGGTAAAGGTAATAACTACAATGTATTCGCTTATTACAGAAGAAACCCAGAAGAAACGTTCAATACCTACGTTTTAACTCCTTCAAGGTAAATTCTATAGAATCTTATTAAATATGTATTTAATGTTCTTCTCCAATAATTGTCTCACTTTCTCTTCGGTTTTTATAGGAATCATTTTATCAACAGGAATGTTACGTCAGTACATATAACATATGCTCTCATTCTGACATCGTTAAATCTGTTTATTTTTGCACAATTTAGAAATGCCAAACTAACAAACAAAATATAAACAAAATATAAGGAACAAAAATAATTAGGATCCATTGGAATATTTGCCATGAAGAGTGCATACCAAGTTAATATGATTTCCTGAGTCAATAAAATTGGAAGATTAATTTACTACCTAAATATTTTATTGACTGACCCGACATGTTTTGATGCCCCGCTTAATGTCCGTACGGAAATTTTTATATAAAAACACTTTGCATATATTAGCAGAATTGCGTCATCACCGGTATCATAATATAATTGTATTATACAAGTAGATGTGTTTTATTCAAACAGCTTCCAGATTGTATGATAGTCGCAGTACATTAATTTGTCTAGAACATTTTACGTAATTGAACAACGCATATGATAAAACGACGCATTTAAACCTTGCGACAAGAAACAAGTGTGTGTAAATGATGGGTCATACGTGGTTCAGAAAACGTTTTAGCGAGATCTATTTACATACTTGAAACAGCTGACTGCAGAAACATCAACGAATGCGTCAGAAGCCAGGAAAAAACTAAATGGGTTTCTGTATTTTCCAGAAAATACTAGAGATTAAATTATTTTGTCGGTGCAATTTTTATCTTGAACAAAAAGATTTCAATTTCGTTAAAATAAAATTCCCTAATTACCATATAAGATAGTTCCCTAAATTACTTATCTTATTTTGCTTAAACATCCTTTATATAACTTTTACAATTTCGAGAAAAAAAAAAGTCTTAATGTGTCTTAATAAGTCTTAATCATGAGACTTCTCTGACTTGTACCGTTTGCGCGGCGTCAATCTACAGTCAACCGTTCATCCATTTGTCGTTTCTGACAATCGACTAAGTCCGAATGTATCTAAAAATTCCATTAGTCAACCGGCGTTCAAAAGGTGTGGAAAATCGGTAAAGACCTGAACTTATCCCTATTACTCCTTAACTCTAAATCCTTTACATACTTGGTTACGATTCCGACAGACTTTGATCTCTTTAAGGCAGACATATGAACTGTTGAGCCTCGGAATAACAATGCCGTTTTCAGCGGACGACATCCCGGAAATTTTCAAGGGATCTATATTACCTCCTCGTGTCGAGTATTCGAGGATATTTGCATACAGTGGCTGATGTATCGGCAGGATTCGCTAGAGTGGTGGGGCGGAACGTCCGCTTAAATAGACAGGTTGATTCTGCACGTCTTTCAGTTTGCTTTCGGGCTGCTCTTGAGAAAGAACTGAACTTGTTCCGAAGCATCCTTGGACTTTCGTTAATGATAACAGCGGTGCGGGAGAAAGTTTCTTGAAAATGAAGTCCGTCATCGGTGCATTTCTGACCCTTTTCGTAATCGCCAAAGCAGCCGAACTCCGTAAGTACCTTCGTTTTAATTACGAAGGAATATTTCAACGCTCAACTTTTAAAGTACATTACAAGAATACATATATGCAACATCTAAGCACTTTGTGTGCGCCATATAAAAGTCCAATTTAACCCTTTGCCCTCCAGAGGCGGCATTTATTTGTCGCTGACAACTCGAATGGCAAATACCTAGAGTGCAAGGGGTTAAACCATTAATTTAAAGATTTCATAACGTTTATTTGATGCTTGGTTAACCCAAGGCAGACATTTTTTTCATAATTCCAATTGGAAGAATGAAATATCAAGTGGACAGAAAAGTAATTTCTCATTCGTTTTTCACGATTCGTGTCATTGATACGTCGAAACAAATTTTATAAATAAACTAATGAAATTTACGAAGATTATTAAAAGATGTACTGCATAAATATTCCTGTGGGATACTTTGTACAGAACAGATTCTGAAATAATGATAAAATACTTAGTGGGCTGTACCCACGTTCAATTGTTTTCACCGGGAATCAAAGTATCCTGTAATTTCTACAATTAATACGAATGTGTGGGTCACTTAATTACATGCTTGATTTATTAGAAAGACTAAATACTCCAGAGAGCTGGTGCACCACGATTACGGTCATTCTCATCTCAATTTATCGATTATTTCTATCACTTTACTGACTGTGTTCTGTACATGGTGTGGAGAGAAAGTATTCACCGAAACTGCGTGCATGTCGGGGATATGGGAGCAAACGCTCGTGCGGTTCTGTAATTTGGTTATGTAATGCAATTCCTTGATCTTAATCGCAACCTTAACGATTTCCGATGCAGCAAATGGATTCAGAACCTGCCACCGATCGGACCCGCAATACTACGACTGCTTGAACAAGGCCGTCGTCGATGCGATAATTTCCATGAGAGGAGGTATCTTTAATATTTATATATTCTTAAACTAAAAATGAATCTGAATTATTCTTCCCTTTGATCGTAGCATCCCAGTAAAGATATCTTGTGGATATCTTAGATTTGGGGCAAACGGTTAACGTGTTTTGACAATTCCCACAGAATTTTCAGTCGTATACTCACACGTTATGTAGGTGCTAATACTGCAAATATATACATAAACAGAATCGCTCTACTTAAAATTAACATTTCGTGTTTACGAAATTTGAACTCAAAATATAAAGTGGATGAACGGTCGCGTTAACTATAATACTACCAATGATGGGACATTTTCGAGAATTTAAAAATTCGTTTAAAGAAATTTCTTCTATAAATGTACGCAATTTGTTAGTTTCGGGTGATGAGCCTTTTGCGACTGTGCCAGTCATTGGCTACGTGGTCGTAATATTCTTTCCTCTTGAAATGACTCTTTACATTTTATTTCGAAAATTATCCGAGACCCGTCATATCTGTACAAAAGAATGCATTAAATATCCCGAGGAATTTGATCGCGATGTAGATTACTATAACTGACTTCCTTAAGACTGGGTTTTAATTGTCCCAATAGCTTGGTGCCATATACCACTACAACGACTTCTCGGAGTCCATTTAGTTAGGCCGCTCATGTATCGTAGATTTTCTCGAAAAACGCGCGAGTTTCCTTGCATAGCCAGGCCAAGTAATTTGTAGAAGTTCTCCTTGACTAGAGCTAATGCCCTTTCGCTCTTGCTGTTGAATGGAAATTACAACTTTCCGCCTTTCATTCGGCTGCTGGGTGCACATGATCCCCGTCTAATGGACTCTCCCTTCTGATTTTCGAGGCCTTAGCATTTTGGTTCACCTTTATGCCAAAACAAATAGATCACGGGCAAACCGGAGAAGAAACTCATAAGGAATGAAAATGTATTATATATTTCATTAGAGTTCGTTAAAAAAAAATGATAATATGATATAAGAAACTTTGCTAGAAAAAGTTTGGTGAAAAGCAACAAAAGAGCACTTAAAGGTTCACACCTGTTTGAATAGTTTGTCCAGGTTTAAGTGTAGTTCGACTGAATCATTGAACGCTAAAATTCTGTCTTATAATTTCGAATTTGTAACGATTGTTTAATTATCATTTCTCTTCTTAGGTTTAAAAAGCTTTAGAATTCTACCTTTGGAACCATTGGCGGTAGACAGTGTAAAAATTGGCGAGAGTCAAGGGCCTGTGACTCTTAAACAGGAGTATAAGAACATTAAACTACACGGACTCACTCAAGGCCTACAAGTGAAGAATTACAAGTAATTTCTCAAAGTTGACGCTTGCGTCTGTCCATTGGTAATAATGAAGCCAGATCATTGATAAAGATGAGCGGTAGAACCTTGTTCTTAACGGCGTTCACCACCAAAGTGGGGACAATGACTTCCACCGCTAGATGGCATTAGCATCGAATTCGGTGGGGGGTAACCAAAACGTACTTTCTCGCTCGGATGAGGAAGACGCGACGCATAATGGACGGTGATTAGCAACGGGCCAAAAATGTGCGCGTATTTTGCACGTGTAGGACTCACACAACGGCTAGACGCCTCTGGACTAGGCGCCGAAACGGGTGTTACCCCCGGCCGCACGCACACGCCAGGTGGACGTTCCGCCTAGGGTCGGCAACGGTTGCTAAGGAATGCCCAAATTCCTCGCGAGAAACTTGAAAATCCTGAAAAAGGTGCTCCACGGGGACAACGATTTTGAGCGTATTTCTCAACCGATTGAGCTCAACGAGTGCTCGTTTTAAAGATAAAATGTTGACGTGTGTTTATATGGAAGCGATTTTCGATCGAGCACCTCCTTCCTAGGTAAAAGGGCATTGAAATTATGTCGTTGCACTTTTTTATATGAAAATGACCACTTATCGAAAATCGCTCCCATATAAACACAGGTCAACATTTCATCTTCGATATGAGCACTCGTTAAGCTCGATCGGTTTAGAAATACGTTCGGAATAGTTGTCCCCGTGAGGCCCTGCAAAATCGCTAGAGTGGTGAGCCCCCTTAACAATCGTTCTGCTGAATACGTTTCAAAGTTCACTTGGTCACTATAAATACTAAGATATTCAGCTAACCTTTCTGGCTATATTATTATCCTTTCATTTTCACTTTCAAGGCACATTAAGTCCTTTTGTCCCAACTTGTCCTTTTTAATTCCAGTATCGACTTCAACAATTGGGTACTAAGATCTGATGGATACTGCCCTCAAGTCGATTTTGTTGCAGACTACAAAGTCGATGGCAGGGTTTTATTGTTGCCAATCAGAGGCGCGGGCAAGTCCAATATAACAATGTGTGAGTAATGGAATTTTGCAAAAGAATTTTTGTATGGGAAATATATCTAACCTTTTAAAATGTTTATTTCAGATGATTTGGAGACGAAAAATACTATTTACTGTGAAGAGTATGAAAAGAATGGCGAAAAGTACCTCAGAGTTAAAAAATACGACATCAAATTTCACCCTCGTAAAGTCATCTTGCAATTCGACAATCTCTTCGACGGGGATACCGTTTTAGGTTTGATACCTTACTTACTCTCACGAATTGGGTCTAACTATCTGGTATTTGCATGCAAAAGAAATTGTAGATTGTTTAATGAGCGTATTTGCATATGTTTCAATCAGGATAGATTCGATTAAACATGGATAACTGGATCGCGTTAACGATGCTTCTTTATTTGCAGGTGAGGAAATGAACAAATTCATCAACCAAAATTCGGATCTGCTCTTCAAAGAACTTCAATCTCCATATGAAGAGACATTTGGTCTAGTGTTCACAAAGATCAGTAATGATATATTCAGCCGCATTCCAATAAGCAAAATATTCCCTATGTAACAATTAGTTTCTAAGAAGTGTGTGTGCGGTTGAAATCAAAATGTAAGACAATCAAACATTTTGAACGTGTGTGATATGTGAAAAGTCTTGAAGTTGCATGATTTATCATTGTAAAACTATGCCGCTAAATATAGTAAAAATACTCTACGTCTTGTCATAATTGATTCATCACAAATGTCTTTGAAACCTGGAATTCTCCATTGCATATGAATCAGAAATAGAAAAAGGTCATTGTCGATATATTTAGTTTAAACTAGACGATTACCCGTACTAGTACAAAGAAGTCCATTACCCGAATATCGTGGTCTTGACTCGTGCGATTTCAGAAGTACGAGCATCCTTCAGATCATTTATTGTCCCCGCTTTTACTCCTTCAAAAAATGAAAATCGAAACTTCGTTTCATACATATCTAATAGATTTCAACATACAATAAATTTTCCAATTTTCATGCTTTTAGATCTAATGGTTTTCGAAAAAAGAACTAAAATTCCACCATCCCTTTCACTCCCTTAGGGATAGAATTTCAAAAAATCCTTTCTTAGTGGATGTTTACGCCTTAAGGGATTACACCACTTTGACCCACCCAAAAATTACGGTTTTTCAAGAATTTTTTGTTAGAATTAAAACGTTTTTATCCAAATTAAAGTACAGTAAGGTATCATACTACTATTAAACAAAAAAATGCTTTTTTTGTATTTTTCTTATTTACAAAAATGGCGGCTTGAAAGGCGATTTACCGGAGCGCTGCGAAAATCGATGATCGTGTGGTGGGCACGATAACTCAGTCCAGGTTTAAGTTAGAACAATAAACGGAAAAGAATTAGTTTCTGTAGCCCAAAAGCTAGCGAAATACGTAGCCGTTTTCAAAAATATGCAATTTTCACAAAATGGCATCGATTTGAAAGGAAAGGTACGTATTTTGCCCTAAATTTCGTTAATTAATGTTGCATAAAAAATGCGAATATCAATACATTGAAAAAACCATACGTATTTCGCTAGATAAACATATCGCGAATAAAATAAAAAAAGAATCAAGACGATTGATTGAAAATTGGCGGAGCTAGAGTGCCCACCGATTTTTAAAATGCAGTTTTAAGAAAAACGCGTTTACACTTATACACCTGCCCACTGCACGATCACCGATTTTCGCAGTGAGCGAGTTTAATAGTAGTATAATACCTTACTGTAACCCAATTGGATAAAAACGTTTTAACTCTTAAAAAAAATTCTTGAAAAAACCGTAATTTTTGGGTGCGTCAAAGTGGTGTAACCCCTTAAACAGAAGACTTTTCCTAAAACTTCAACAAAGGCTCCAGTGATTTGAACTAAGCATCGATTACGTCTACGTCAAGGAGTCAATTAGGTTTTTATAAACAGAGATGAGTCAGTCAATTAGAATTTCATGTAGTAAAATTTAACAAAGTAGTAATCATCAATACAAGGTCATTACACACACGTGACCTTTATAAGGATATAGAAAACATTAAAAATTGATGTAGGTAATTTGTATGCCGGAAAGTTCAGATAAAACTGATTTATGTTGCCCGTAAAAACTTTTGTTTTTTCATGTACTTTTGTGGTACTTTTATGTAATGATGTCATTACACTACTACAATATTCTTTGATAATGTACGCGCAGACGGAAAAAAATTAGAACCAATCATTAAACAAAATAGTTTGATTCATTGCATTTGGCTTATTCCAGAACACGTTCTGGTTGAGCGAATTAAATTTTAGTTCACTTGATGAAATTCGGTTGTTCGTCTCAACTAAAGTGTTTATTGGTTAAATCGTTTTGTTATTTTTAGAAAACATTTTAATAAAGAAAAACAAATATTTTAATTAAGTGTACCAAATTACCTTAATATTCGACGTGATCTATTAAGGTGAAGTGAAACCCCCTTCAAATCAGTCGATTCGAATACAATACTTTTTTTAAGGGTATTAGACCAAACTGTCCGAAACTTTGACACATCACTCCTGATCATCTAAGAATTGTCCTGACACATTCAAAATTTGGATTTTTTGAAAAAATATTTTAACTTAGCCCAGACCAAAACCAAAATGGCGTCGAGCTCTCATATTTCGATCAATATACAATTATTGAAGGCTCTGATATGAGAATTGAAAGGGTCAGGACAATTTTACGACAATTTAGAACACTCTGGTAATCGATAAACTCGCATTTGAACGGGATAAAGGCAAAAAAATGTTGTATGTGCTTCTATGCTAAAACGATGGGAATACGAGGTCTCGGAGTGAAAATTTAATTGACCTGGAAATCACAGATGGCGCAGGGGGTCTTTCTGCAGTCAATTAGGGCCCCAGAAAGCATGAATGCTGAGGATTTTTTGAGTTTTACTTCGATTTCTTGATAATTATTGTACGAAAACGACAAGTGGAGTATGCCATTTGATACAATATGCAATATAACTCGACACAGCTGTCAATATAAAAACGGACGTCGACAACATAGGCATTTAGATAAATCTTCTTTATCGACGTCGACCAAGTTTCTCGATGTGTTACACTTCACCTTAAAACCAAATGTGGTGGTGAACATATTCTATGGTTGAACAGGTAAAAATTGTATTAATTTAACCAAATATTTTTCTACGTGTAAGGGTAGTTTTAGATTTATACCTGTGATTCAAATACTACATTACAAGATAAAATCATACTACTAATAATTGGATTTTGAAATACTTCAATCCTTCCTAGTATTTGAGACTCAAAAGTCGAAGTAATCCTCGTGAGAAAATTACAGATTTTTAGGAAATAAATTTAACTGAATTTCTCCACACTATGAACAACATGTTTAATACTTTTGAGCGATTGCTTCAAATTTGGTAACTTTTAACATCATTGTCAATTATTGTATTAATTAGGTAATATCAAGAAATGCTAATATAATTCTCGTCAGAAATGTAGTTTAACTTTACCATGCCATTGAAAAAACAACTCAAAATCTCTGACGAAATATTAAAAACGGCTTAAAAAAGTGTTAAAGTTAAAGCACATTAGACCGGCCCGGAAAAATTCAGGTGGAATCAAATTTTATTCCACCAAACATTTTCCGGGTCCGTCTAATATACTTCATCTTTAACTTTACCATGCCATTGAAAGAACAACTGAAAATCTCTAACGAAATATTAAAAACGGCTTAAAAAAGTGTTAAAGTTAAAGCACATTAGACCGGCCCGCAAAAATTCCGGCGGAATAAAATTTTATTCCACCAGAAATTTTCCGGGTTTATCTAACATACTTCACCTTTAACTTTACCATGCCATTGAAAAAGCAACTCAAAATGTCTGACAAAATATTAAAAGCGGTATAAAAAAAGTTTAAAGTTAAAGCACATTAGACCGGCCCGCAAAAATTCCGGCGGAATAAAATTTTATTCCACCAGAAATTTTCCGGGTTTATCTAACATACTTCACCTTTAACTTTACCATGCCATTGAAAAAACAACTCAAAATGTCTGACAAAATATTAAAAACGGTATAAAAAAGTATTAAAGTTAAAGCACATTAGACCGGCCCGCAAAAATTCCGGCGGAATAAAATTTTATTCCACCAGAAATTTTCCGGGTCCGTCTAATATACTTCACCTTTAACTTTACCATGCCATTGAAAAAGCAACTCAAAATGTCTGACAAAATATTAAAAACGGTATAAAAAAGTATTAAAGTTAAAGCACATTAGACCGGCCCGGAAAAATTCCGGTGGAATAAAATTTTATTCCACCGGAATTTTTCCGGGTTTATCTAACATACTTCACCCTCAACATCCGGTAAATACTTATGTGGCTATGGGGTCAAGGATGAGGACATATAATCATTTTCAAGGCATACTCATTATAGAGTACGATAAATAGTTGATAGATTGCTGAATAAATCACGCGGTTTACGCATTCCGTGTAATTTTGACGTTCTCTCACGGACAGTTGACGATTAATTTCTTGGGTTGACATTGAACTGTATACTTTCATCTCGTCCCCTCTGTTTATGCTTTAAAATTTATGTTCATTACCGAAGAAATTATTCGCCATAAATGCAGTGTTTCCTTAACTTTATATAAGCTTTTTATTGCGTAATGGATTTATGAGCCAAAACATACTTATGGTTAAGCCCATTTCGTGAATGCGATTGGTTTTATTAATGTTAATTATTATACTGCTTAGGTTTCACTTATAACTATGTAAATTTGTTTATGTTTCGCATTAGATAAGATAGAAAACGAATGATATTTCACACAGAATGTAATATTCAAATAAAAAACCTTTACAAAGTGATATGTACTATTCGGGCATAAATGTGAATAATACACACGAACAAAACCGAGGAAGCAAAGAATTATTTACAAATACGTGTGTCGAAGATTCGAAAAAATCTTATCCGTGAAAAGGTCGATTAACGCACAAAAAGAAATAAAAGTTACATTCGCCAAATGTTTAATTGTTAAGCGAAGCTGGATAACGTTCCCGATATGGATTTACAAAAATTCTCACGTTTTATAGAAGTGAGTCAAACATTTTGAATTTTAATCAACTGCTATGATTCATATTTCTTTACTTTTATGCTTACTTAAAATTGGCACTTCATCTTCATTTACTTAATGTTATCTCTACTTCGAAAATATTTCTACAGGAATTTAAAACTAGATTTAATTCTTACCAAAATTTATGCGCAGTTTTTTTATTTGGTTGAAAATAATTACAATGCGTTATTAAACTTTACCCCGACGCTCGTCGATACAAGTTTATGATATGAAACATAAAAAAGACGTTATTAATTAACCATTCTAAATAAAAATTGTGTTTGAACAACATTCACTGATTACAATTGATATCCATTAACTTGCTTTATGGTTTACATACATACATTGGCGGATGTAGTACTGTCAGTGCTGACGACGCAATGGATATTACCCACTAATTGCCGGGTTTCTTGGAAAACCATGAGACCCGAAAGTTCTGCGAAAACCCTCATTTTACATCTGAATGATTATCCTCATTCGCTTATCTGAAGAATTATCCTGGATTTCCAGGACAAAGAATATGTGGCAATGAATGGTGGTAAATGATCGACTTATGTCGCAACAGTCACAAATGGTCGTTGGGGCGGCGCGGATGAAAAGTCGCAATTATGATTTCGGGCAATGCTGAACAGTAGTACCCGGTAAAAAGGCTTGAATACAACAGGATTCAATGTCTCACGGTTTCAACGTAAAAGTGATGATTTTTCTATTCTATTTAATACCTAACTTTTCTCTCCAAGTCCATTTCCCGCAACAAGAATATATATTCTGCGAATCAATTATATTCTATTCCCCTTGTGTACTCTGATTTTTCTTCAATTCCGAAAAGAAGAATATATTTCTGCTTTGTTTAATTCTTTCTAGTCCGACAAAAAATATTGGTATTCAATTGTTTTGTATTCCGTTTAGAGGAATACATTATAGAAATGCCTGATTCCTTCCAGTTCATTTCAAAAATTTGTGCATTCAATTGCCTTGAATCCTTTTTTTGGAATATACGTTTGTAACTTCTAATTTAAATCAGTTCCACTTTATATGCCCGAGAGATTAAGTAGTTGAATTCCAATATTTCAGATTGGTTTCATATGTATTGTATTCTCCTGAATTCCAAGTATAAAGTTAATTAACCTCATGTATTTTAAAATGTAATAATTAAATAAACATAAAATTTCACATTTTTTTTATGTGAAAGTGAGGCGAAGGTATCATTGGAAAGAAATGTAAAAAATTGCCATTGTAATTTACGCATTAATCAGTTACGCCTGTAATGCCAGTACAAGGAAAAAAAAATAATATGATTATAATGACTATGGCGACATGGTTAAAATACTGTGGTAAATGAAACCGCACAAATGGTGAAATTGACCACATGGAATGGTAAACGTAACCTTGCCAATAGGTACTGTGTCCATAGCGCTGCGCTTAAAAGGTGCAGTAGTGATCAACATTTAAAATGGTAATATTCATTATAAGAAGAGGTTATAATAACTACAATAAGATAGAAGGTTTATCAGATAGCTGCCCGGTAAAAAGGCTTGAATACAATAGGATTCAATGTCTCATAGTTTCAACGTAAAAGTGATGATTTTTCTATTCTATTTAATACCTGATTTTTCTCTCCAGGTCCAATTCCCACAACAGGAATATATTTTCTGTGAATCAATTATAATCTATTCTCCTTTTGTATTCTGATTTTTGTGCAATTCCGAAAAGAGGAATATATTTCTGCTTTGTTTAATTCCTTCTAGTCCGGTAAGAAATGTCGATATTAAATTGTTTCGTATTCCGTTCACAGGAATACATTATAGGAATGCCTAATTCCTTCCAATTCCTTTAAAAAATTTGTATATTCAATTGCCTTGAATTCTTTTTTTGGAATATAAGTTTATAAGTTCAAATTTAAATCAATTCCACTTTATATACCCGAGAGATTAAGTAGTTGAATTCCAATATTTGAGATTGGTTTCAAATGTATTGTTTTCTCCTGAATTCCAAATATAAATTTGATTAAACCTCATGCATTTTAAAAAGTATTTACTAAATAAACATGAAATTTCACATTTTTTATGTGCGAAAGTGAGGAGAAGGTATCATTGGAAAGAATTGTAAAAAATTGCCATTGTAATTTACGCAATAATTAGTTACGCCTTTAATGTCAATANAGCTCGATCGGTTTAGAAATACGTTCGGAATCGTTGTCCCCGTGAGGCCCTGCAAAATCGCTGGAGTGGTGAGCGTCCTTGACACCCTCAACATTTTGAATGGCATCATAATTTATCCGCCAATGTAAATTTAAAAATTCTAATATCAAATTTGGATTTAGCGACCACAAAAACCCTGAGAAACCCTTTTTTTTACATTTTTATCCGCCATATTGGACCCACCATTCAGCATTTTTAAATTTTGTTTACAGATTTGGAAGCAATGACCCTAAAGATCTGGAGAAATCGTTCTTTCGAACTAAATTGTAACCGTTTTGAAATTTTTCATCCGCCATTTTGCGTTTTAAAATTCTGTTGCCAGATTTGGATTCAGCGACCTCAAAAATTTATAAACCACTTTTTTTCTTATAAAAATGCTACCATTTTATTATTTCCTGCTCGCCATTTTGAATTTCGAAATTTTGTTGTCAGATTTAGATTCAGCTGGCACGACTACCATGAAAAACTCATTTTTCTAAAAACAACCATTTTTACATTTTTTTCCACCATATTGGATCAGCCATCTTGAATTTCAATATTCCATTACCAGATTTGGATGAAGCGGTTATAAAAACCACGCTAAACCGTTTTTTATAATAATCCAATCATTTTGTAATTATATTATTCGCCATATTGGGTCTGCCATTTTGAATTCTGAAATTATATTATTTGACATGGCTTCGGCAATCTCAGAAACATCAAGAAACCTTTTTTCTGTCAAAATCCAATCATTTTAAAGCTGGGATGGATATAGTTCCTTTTGGTTCCGTGCAAGGCGGTGTCGCATATCGGCTGCACAAAAACTATATGACAAACCACCTATCATGTGAGTGCGAAAATGGTAGCCCGTGACTGGAGGGACGACGATGACGATAAGAGAATAATGATTCTGAGAGTGCCAAAAACTTTATTGTACAATACCTTTACGTTCGATGGTTTACCTCGCGGACCTACTGTCCTCCGGCCGCGCAGCGTACTAGCGGCGGGAACAGCGCGGAATTTGAATTGCTCGAGGGGCAGAATGGATTTCCTAAAGAAAATAAATACTTATAAAAAAACAATTTATGAAAATTATTTTAGTATTATTGTTGAGTGTCTCTGACCCACCTAACGTTGTTTTTGTTAAATGATAATTTACAGAATTTTTTAAAGAATATATTAAAACATGTTTTATTAAAAGTTAACAAGTTGATTTACAGGTGTCCATTTATTCCAGGAATACGAAAAAAAGTCTAGAACGTTAATATATAAAAGACATGAAATCGTGATTCCGCTTCTATGTGCGAAAGTGGATGCATTATAAATTTTCCTACTGCATTTCACTGGATAAATATTAATAAACTATTTTCTTAAGCTAAGATAATATTCTAACCGTTTCAGTGGATGGAACAATTTAATCGCTAAAAAACTTGTTAACTTTTAATAAAACATGTTTTAATATATTCCTTTAGAAATTCTGTAAATAATCGTTTAACAAAAACTACGTTGAGTGACTTAGGGGCATTTCACAATAATATTTAAATAATTTTCATTAATTGTTTCCTTTATAAACATTTATTTTTTTTAGAAAATACATTCTGCCCCTTGGGCGATTCAAATTCCACGTTACTCCCGCCACTAATACGCCGCACGGCCGGAGAGGGCAGTATGTCTGCGAGGTAACCATCGATGAATGCAGTGTATGCACATGTGTATATACAGTCATGCTCAAAGTATCATATAATCCAGCCAGTCTGGTTAAGAAAATTATGGTACAAATTAAAAAGTTGGAATATTTTCATTAAATGTTTGCCCGTACTAATAAAAAAGGAAACTGAAAAGGAGGAAAGATAATGTAATTTAATACATCGACGCATGCAATACATGCGACGATTGCAATAAGTCGCCCCACGACAAGACCGAGAACCAATGGGTGCATTCAGAAAAAACAACTGTTGAATGATCGGTTAGCGCTCATCTGCTGAATGGGTACGTTCACTCAACATGTTTACCGATCAGACGCCATTTTATGTATCACAAATTTTCTACGCTACCTGCGCTCAACGTGGTTAGGTAGATCAAAATCAAATTCAAACCGTGTAGATTCAAGTTAAAGAAGCAAGGATGGCAAATGAAATCAATTATTACAGTGAAATGTATGAAGTAAACGGTTCTCGGTACAATGTACATAGTAGAGAATGCAGAAGTGCATAAAATGTTACAAAATGGTACGTTATTTCGAAATGTATACTTAACCTTAATCTAATGTATTCTATCTTCCTAATGTAGACCAAAAAACTAATAATAAATAAATAATTAAGTTAGTATGAACTTATGAGTGTTTTTTTTTCAGACGTTACATTCTGTTACGAATATTTTTCTTAAAATATATCTATAGAAGTTAGTGTATGTAAAGAAAAGGTGCAAAATCCTTCAGGTAATGAAGTAGCTGAAATAATACACGACGTACATGTACTGCTGTACACGTGTACTGCTGTGAACATGTACTGCATGTATAGCACTGACTGCTATAGTTAATATAATTAATATAATTATATCAGTAGTGAGTGCTATAAGGAGGTTAGGTTATACACACTGGATGCCGCCATATTATGATTACTGAACAGTCCATTCAGCAGAAAATCTCAACATGATCCCAACTCATCGGTAACCGCTTTTCTCGTCCGAATGCACCCAATGACTACGTCTCCATCGTACTCGAAATCCGAAATTTATCAAATCCAAACCTAATAACTCCGAATTTAAGTGTCGATCGAGACACTCAGGATCGAATTTGCATAATTATTAATGCGATGGAGACATGTGATTTACGAGATCCTGACTCAATAAATCCCGAATTGAGGAGTACGATGGAGACGTAGTCAATAAGAACAAACCGAGATTTCTGATCATAACTATCAATAGTTCTAATTGGTCGCCATCTCTTGCTCTGCTGTTCATGTGCAGCAATCGCAAACTGTCTCCTCAAATTGTCACTTTTATTGATAATGCTAAGATTTCTTCTGAAATAATAGTATAATTCGCGTCCTATTATTGTTTAAAAAATGGATAATGTATTGGACAAAATAATAGTATAAATACTATAATTACAGTCGGTTGGCAACACTGCCCTAGTTCTACTTATTCCTGCTTATTCCCAAACAAGTAATAAGGAGAATATCAGGCAAAGATTGCGATGCTTTTATATCATTTTTATCATTCAAACAGTCCGAGTTTCTATAAAACTAACATTTTCTTTAAATACTTTTATCCCTTTAATAATTTGTTGGTGGCGTAAAATACTCGGGTTTTTATAGATTTTTAAATGAAGTTGCCTAACCTAGCATCAGGATGGAAATGACATCAAATGCTTATTTATTTGACGGTATCGGTAACGTGGAATTTATTACCTCAGCCAATCAAGCTCAAATTCACTTTGAATATGAAGGAAAAGAACAAAGTGCTGATTTCACAAGTACCCAATTTTATCATAACAATAAATTTCTGGTAGACGGAGAAGATTTGCAAAAGTATATCCAGAATGGTTCATCGGTGTGTATTAATTACTATTTTAAAAAATGAATACTAACTTCATATAAATTAGTATGTGTGGTTAATTTGTTTTAGTTGTTTGACAAAATCCTAGTATATAAGTAACACAAATTGTAAAGGCAGGATTTATTCATGATTACCAGACATTTTAAACTATTACAGTTAAAAAATAATTGCTTAATATGTTAATTCATATAAAATATATTTATTTAGGTATTTATTAACTTCTTGTTTCTTAAAATCATATTTTAATAAGTTTTTTGCGTTTATCATTGCAGGTAATATTTTCTTGCCAACAAAAATCTGACACATGGCATGTAATAATTTGTTTTCTCTACAAAGAGTCACATTGGAATGAAATCGTACCAACAGTGGGAATTACAAATGGATGTGGCTATATAACTAAACTAAAAAAACGTCATGGAATATTAGTCATGATTGATTTGTTAAATAAGCAAAATAAAGTGCTCTTTTTAATGAATAGAGTATACATTGATGGAAAAAGAGTTACGAGTTCTATAAAATTGTCTGAAGAACTGGACAATTCAGTAATGTTCGATGCTATTCCTACATTTGCGATAGAAAATGATGATAACTGCACATGGTTTGCTACAGTTGTATTCAAAGGCAAAAAACCAGATAATAATCCAAGTACTATAGTTTTACATGAAGCTGTAAAATCTACTCCCATTACAAATGAGAAAACTCTGATTTCTGTGGCCAAAGAGTTAAATGTTAAGTTGTCTATGAAAAATACAAAGAACACATTTGTAGAAAAACAAAATATATCGTGCAACGATAAAGCAGTAATTAAATCTGATACTCCGAATATAGAAAACAAGTGTCAACTGTTGGATAATATACAAAAGCCGCAAGATATTATACAGACTATTTCACGTGTAATTTTAACATGCTTGTTTTTACAAAATTTAACATAACTGGAGTCTACAATCTAAATTGATAATCATTTCAGTACATAAATGATTCAAGGAACATCTTCATAACTGGTCAAGGAATACTTCTGGATATCGTTAATGAAGAGTATGGAATTTTATTAGGAGAATTTAAACCTAATGACTTCCAGCCTATACTGTTTCATAGGAAAAATGCTTTCCTTTTCAAAATGAAATTATCTCATTCAAAGCTTTCTGAAATTTTCATAGAAGGTACGTTTACCAAATGTTGATAAGTAGGAACTTTTGTTACCGACAATTTTAAAGGTACCTTTTCTTTGATGCAAACGTACTACACAAGATCTTTCTTATCAAATATCGGTAATTATGATCAAATAAAATTTCCCTAAACTTCAAACATTGATTTCAATGTTGAATGTAGAAGAATATGTCATTTGGCAAATGTTCTAAAATTCATCTAAATTTATATATTAATTGCTTAATTTTTTATTTGAGTTTAATGTTATATGTTTATAATCATTCTTTTTTAAATAGGAGATCGTTTGAGATTTATTGCCGTACGTGCTCCATATGGTTTTGTAACTTCATGGATTGCCATTCAAGTATCCGTCCAATCTTATGAACAAACTTTAAAAAGTGTGTGATACTCATGGTCAAACAACACACTGCACAAATTAAGTGATCAACATGAGCGAGCTGCTTTTATGAAATTTTATATCTTGTTTGTGGTAATAACGGAACTTTAAAATTATTATTTATATGAAAGGGAGTTTTGCAAGATGAAAATTGATGATGTTTATCGCAAGGCAAAAACAAAACTGACCAATGCTTACATATTTCTTCATTTTCATTCTGAACCATTTTTTATGCATAGCTCTTTAGTTAATATAATTATCATATAATGATGTGTATTTTAAATTATTCTATCGCTGTAATTTTATATTGGTCCAATAAACTAGTTTTATGTACATTACATTACTGTAACAACTTAATTTCATACAAATGTCAGTTTTTGTACATGTCAATGCATATTAACTTGGTAAAGAATCGGTGTTCCCTTTATTTGAATAAATCTATAAAAAGATACGTTTTTATATTCATAATTGTATTAAAACATGTGAGTAAATCTTGAGAATAATACTAATTTATTAAAAAACTCTGTTCTGTTTGAAATCAAAGTTATACAGGTATGCAAAATTGGTTATAAACATTCCAATGAATATCATTATCACCATACCAGCGGAAAAAGTTGAATCTTTCTAAAGAATAAAAGCAAGTACAACATTTCGATAACAACCCAATCTATTAATAGATCTTAAAAACATTTATCGGAATACGAAACGTAATACATGTTTATCACTAACGGATTTGACTCTTTGGTTCTTCGCCTACACGTAACATTAAGATGATATGAAACTGGTGTCGAAGGGGTCAAATTGTTCATAAAAGTTTTCTCCAAATTAGGTGTATCAATTCGTTGCAAATTTTACCACGTGAATAAAAAAGCCCTAAGGTAGATCTTTTGAAATTCATAAAATTTCTTTTTTTTTTATTGATTTATTTATCGTGGACTAGAACCAACTTAGAGTCGTCCATGTATATTGTTGCTGTTTTACATTTTTTAATGACTTAGAATCGCAAATGAAAACTCTCAATACGTAGCAGGAACAACGTAAAATACAATGGAAATCGAATATTACATAGACGGAAAAATATGGAAAATACTTTTATAAACGATTGTAAGAATGCTGGTCCGTGGGTAACAGGTACTCTTAGAGCGAAAATTTAATTGCAGCTAAACGTCACAGATAGCGCCATTGGTCAACTAGAGTATCAAAAGTCATGAATTCAAGGGATTTCTTCGGTTTTACTTTGATCTCTTTATAATAATGCTACTAAAATTATATATGGAGTACTTCATTTCGTATAATTCTGAATTTGGAGACGTTATCATAAATACAAATGTGAACGTAGACTGCCAGCATATATCACCACTTGAGTATCCAAATTAGCGTTACCGCCGAAAAGAGTATAAATAAATTTTATGTTGCGATGTCGATTAAATTACTCAGCGCCTTTCATATCATTTTACGCTTTTGTATTACAATGTACTATTCGATCCTCCTTCTCTTTCTCCCTTAACAATTATTTCATTTTAAACAGTAGTAAACATCATGGAATGAGAATGCTCCCTAGTAGCACAAAATATTTGTCCTATAATTTCTATATATTTAACGAATATCGTACATTTGGTAAATATTTAGCAGAAATTTGAAATATATGCCAAACGTTTACTTTAGAATATTATCTTTATAATATTTATATAATATTAGCTCCATGTGTTTTCATAATATTTTTCTACCAGATATACAAAACATTTCGTTCCATTTTAATACAAGTCGTTTTTAAATATTATCTGCCGAATACATTCTAAACGTTTTAAAAATATTTAAAATCAAAATCACGCGTTTTGCTCCCATAATAAAATAGCGGAACGAAAATATTACAAAAATTTCTCGTGTTTTTTTATACCAAACGAAATGTCCGATAATAGTCGTGAAGTAAAAAATGTATTTTTATTATGTTAATAAGTTAAAAAATATTTCTCTATATGTTTATAAATAATTGAAACTAAATATGTCATTGAGATTTTCAAGAAATATTTCAAATATCTTCGAATGAAATCTACAAGAAATCTTAAAAAATCTGTCGCTTGAGATATTCAGCAAAGATTACAAAGAAATATTTAGAAATTATTCTATGCTTCTAGGGCAGTGTAGGCAGGTATAGAACAGATGCCGCTTTCGAATTTCAATAATTAGCTATCAATTTCCCGTAATATTATTCACAGAATTAACAACAACCGTTCGACGGCGAATGAAACTCAATTGCAGAAGTTTGATTATGAATCGCACCGAGAATGTATAGCAGCGACGCCTATAGTTTTCCTGCAACCTTGCGCCTGTACCTTTAAGGTGAAGTGAAACACCCTTCAAATCAGTCGATTCGAATACAACACTTTTGTTTAAGAGTATTAGACCAAACTGTCCGAAACTTTGACACATCACGCCTGATCATCTAAGAATTGTCCTGACACATTCAAAATGTGGATTTTCCAAACAAATTTTTTAACTCAGCCCAGACCAGAACCAAAACGACGTCAATCTTTCATATTTCGATCAATATACAATTATCGAAGGCTCTGGTATGAGAATGGAAAGGGTCAGGACAATTTTACGACAATTTAGAACACTCTGGTAATCGATAAACTCGCATTTGAACGGGACAAAGGCAAAAAAAAGTGTTGTATGCGCTTCTGTGCCAAAACGATGATAATACGAAGTCTCGGAGGGAAGATTTAATTGACCTGGAAATCACAAATGGCGCAGGGGGTTCCTCTGCAGTCAATTAGGGCCCCGGAAAGCATAAATCCAGAGGATTTCTGGAGTTTCACTTCTATTTCTTGATATTTATTATACGAGAACGACAGGTGGAGTATGCCATTTGGGACAATACCCAATATAATTCGACACAGCTGTCAATATAAAAACGAACGTCGGCAACGTAGGCATTTAGAAAAATCTTCTTTATCGACGTCGACCAAGTTCCTCGACGTGTTTCACTTCACCTTAATGCTAGCCTCTCACTAGCAAAACTCGAATATAAACGAGAGCTCGTCGACATCAAAGCTTCTTAATAAAGTATCATTTTTATTGTCCTGTGCAAATCCTGTCGCATCTTTCCTGCAATTGGACTTGGTTGTAAGCAAGGCCCACCGGATACTTTCGCTACAGAAAATTGAGCAATTCCGATGCCAAACTTGTTTGGAGTGCTAAATCTTTCCGTCGACTTTTCTTCAAATGAGTGTTTGCCTGATCGACTTTGTACACTTTTCGATACTCTTACCAAACCGGGTTACCTTCTACTTCAAATAGAAACCAATTTGTTTATGGCATTCAATTATTAATCTGTTTCTATTTCAAATTACTAGATACTTTGTGAATGACTTCATTGTCAATTAATATTTCAGTTCCCTGATAAATATTATCGAAACTCATCTATCACTCGTTACAAATGAAACTCCTTCAAAATTTGATTTTAAGCATCCTGCACTTATTGTTTAGTATACTTATCTTCCCATAGAACCATGTGCATTTTCTAAGCAATTGAATAGAACTATTGCCAATGCCTATCCATTTTATTAATGTATTGTCCAAGTAGTAAAAGTTCATCTATGTCCTAATTCGTCATGCATGTAGATTTTCTAGCCAAGGTCATGAATGGTTTATTTTAATATTATATTATTAACAAACATTGCCAACCGAGACAGAAGTTTGAAAATAAATGTTAATACATCTGTAATACGAATAAGTTTCCACAGGAACCTCGATATGACTTTTGGCTACTTATGGAGTCATATCGGATGAATACGATTCATTGAAATAGTATATAAATAAAATTGTTTTGATATCTTCGTATAATTTTTAAGAGGCGGATCAGAAACTTTCAAAAAATTCTTGTTACATAATTACAGCATTAAAATAAAAAATTAATAACAAATAAAGAAATATTAAAAGACTACGCGCGGGTGATCATATTCATCTTCGTTTCTGAAATTAAATTATTGTGAATGATTTTGGAGAACATTACGTGTCTTACAGTAAATATCTAATTTATAATTTACAATGTATAGATAAGCATTTATTTAGTGTATAATCCTAGAAAATTTAATCAATGGACCCTAGAGAATTGCCGGTTTCATGGACACGCAATCAATCATGATCTTCATGATCTTAAAAAAAAAAGTGTAGTGAAAGTAGTACTTCTAACAATAATAGAATTTCGAATAACACTGCGTGTTGTTTAAGTAACATTTAATCAAATGTCTGTGGGATACGTTTTTATATTTTCACAATTTTTCTTCTAAAATATCTGATAAGTTGCTGAATATCCTCGCTAAATGTTTTCATGCGTGTCCTGTTCTTTTCTTCACGTAAACGTATCACTTAACATGAACACGTTCAATTGGCGAAAATTTAAAAATTGCTAGTTTCTGTAAACTAGCGGATAAATTTTGATCGTGCTGCATTATTAAAGCAACTTATGGCAAACGCTGCGCTGATAAAAAAATAGTATAACGATTTTAGATGAACTTATATCGCTTTGTGTGGATGTTCAGACTGAAATTAGTGGGGTACCCACCTTCCACAATTCTGCAATTCCTGTAGCAGAACAATTAATCATAGTACCCAGAAAAATTGCTAAATTTTGCCGCACATCAAAGATCATGACCACGTGTTTGGCTGGAAGCAACTTGTAAAAGTCGTTTACGAAGAAGATAAAACCATTATTCTGAATCATACTTCCTGGTTTTTCACGATGTACTTAATTTGCCGTCTACAGACTACATATTTCCATCGTTTTTATTTTACATTGATCAGTCAACAGATTCTAGGAAACCGCTAACTTCTTACGTATGCAAATGATTGCGACCATCTGGACCTCCGTAGGCAGTTTGTAGTGAAAGTTGTACCATAAAAAATGAAACCATTATTTTGGATAGCATTGCGTGATTTTCAGTAGACATTCAAATTGGCGCCGGCGGGGTTTGCGCTTTCCACATTTTCGCAATTCCGGCTTATGCAACCTATGTAGCATACAATTGACCGGACTACTGTTATTCACTGTTTGCTAAATGTACTACGTGTATTCAACTTTGATCACTAAGTTTTTATCATATCTTACAAAATTATCGAATCTACCATTTTAACTTTTCACACCCTTTATATTAAAATATTGTGAATACTGTAAAAAACATGTATTTTGTGATTAACCACAAAAAAAACTTCATTATAAGCAAAGGAATAATTTCCAAAAGAAAATTTAACTTAATATTTATTTTCGATCTTTTGCAAGCGTAAATTCGCATTCTACTT